CAGGTCCGCAGGCAGAGTGTTTAGGAGCCAGAGGCCCTGGATTGCGAGAGAGCTGTCCGACTGCTGGTTTAGACCCGATCCCCACAGGGTGCAGGCTGGGCTGAGGGACATCTTCCCCCACTCCCCCCCCCCCCGCCGGGCACAAATTTCGTGCACCGGGCAACTAGTAATTTCATAAAAGAGGATACTTTAACACAAACAAAAAGAGTAGTCTATCTTAAGAAATGACAGTAAGCAATCTAATACAGATGCTGAAAGAGACAGAGACAGAGACAGAGAAACAGAGAGACAGAAAACCAATGTCTTTATTTCCCTCCCTCACTCTGTAGATGACAGTGAAAACTTCCTAAGAGACCTGACAGGTCTATGGAACCGCAGCTGGGAGCCATTGTGCCTTCAGGCAGTATCTCCTGGAAACCACCCCTGGATAGATGAGAAGGCTATTTTTAAAGTTCTCCAGAATAGATGTTTTCATATCCTCCCTTGGAAGTGTCTATCATGATACAGCTCCCATATAACTGACCTATATTTTTTAGACTACATTGTGTCAATTTCTGCTCTTTCTTTCCAGAGGAAAATATATAGAGAGAAAACAAAAAGACTGGTGACTCTTGTTTGCCCAAGAGACCCTCATATATTGAAGTAATTAACTCATCTCTGTTGGACTGTATTAGCATGCAAGGAACATACTGTGTTCAGATTTCCTAATTTGGTGGGAAATTACTGTAAAGACCCACCACCCACCCCAGGCCCTCACCACCCCACTGTCTGTGTCCATATATGCCTACAAGGTCTTTGGTTGATTACCTCCCTCCCATCCACCCTCCCCCACCTTCCCTCCAAGATGCCACACTCTGTTCCATGCTTCCATGTCTCTGGATCCACTTTGTTCATCAGTATATTTTGTTAATTAGACTCCATATATGAGTGAGATCATGTGATATTTATCTTTCTCTCACTGACTTATTTCACTTAGCATGATACTCTCCAGGTCCCTCCATGCTATCTCAAAGGGTAAGAGATTCTTCTTTTTTCCTTTTCTTTTTCCTTTTTTTAATTTTATTTTATTTATTTGTTTGTTTATTTATTTATTTATTTTTGCTGCATAGGTTTACCTATTCTTGATATTTCAAACAATTAGAATCATACAATATATGGTATTTTGTATCTGGCTTCTTTTACTTGGCATAATGTTTCCAAAACTTATCCATTTCATAGCATGTATCAGTACTTCGTTCCTTCTGTGACTGAATAATATTCCATTGCATGGATATACCACCTTTTTTGTTTATCCATTTGTCAACCGATGGACATTTAGGTTGTTTCCACCCTTTGGCTCTTATGAATAGTGCTGCTATGACCATTTATGTAAAAGTATTTGTTTGAATAGCTGTTTTCAATCCTTTGGGAAATATACCTAAGTAGAATTATTGGATCATACTGTAATTCTGTTTGACTTGTTGAGGATACACCAAACTGTTTTCCACAGTGTCTGCACCATTTTATCAACCTCACTTAATGCATAAAATGTATTACATCTCTTCCTTTTAAATACTCTGATGCTAAAGATTCAAAAATTTTCCTCCTGTTGTAGTTAAGTACTCTTACTCAGTTTCCAATATGTCTGTGGATGTTGAGTAAACAACTAAAACACAAAGAAAGGCAGTCTTTGTAGTATACACACCGTAATGGAGCCTCCATTCCTATTGTTTGCCTATGAGTGTTAGTTTACTTCCTATTTCTACAATTATGTTCCTGGTTTAAACTTCTTCAGACATTCTGACTTTAAAATAGCCTTAATTGAAATGCTAAAATATATGTTGTTGGTTCCTTTTTAAGGCCAATAAGAGTAAAAAAAGCAAGAGTCAGTTGACCCACTCAGAAAATCCAAAGGGAGAGCAGGGAAATGTTCCTCATGGTGTTTTATGTGCACTTAAGGGACACAATTTTTTAGGTAGAGAAAGAAAACTGGCAAGTATCCCAAGGATAACAGCCAAAATGATTTCAAGTGTGATACCTAAAATAGGAAATGTCCTGATAACTTAATCATGATTAAAGGGGTTTTATTTACTACCTAGTGTCCATGTCCATCTCCTTGGAAACGAAGAGAATATTTTCAACAGTGGTAAAGCATTAGAACAAGTGGTAGAATAAAGTTGGAGAATCTGCTTCTTTGAAGGTGGATTGTGAGCACCTTAATAATTCCATAGACAAGAAATAGTTCAAGTGATAAATGGATGGAAACAAAGGGATGATGAATATTTCCACTTAGCTCATACCTTCATAAATATGATTAAATCTAAACAAACAAAGAAAAACATTTAGTTGTATTTCTGGCCACATTTCATAATCACTTAGCTGATGTGAGAAGAAAGAGACTCAATTTTGTACCAGATATTAACAATTATCTATACTAATAATAGAAATATGCAAAATGTCCAGGATGCCGTAACAGTAACGACCGAACAGCAGGCTGCGTGGGGCGACCAGGATGATTGGGGGGTTAGTGAGGGACGACCAAATGACTGAAAGCAGGGTGTGTGGGGCAACCAGGCCAGCAAGGGGGTTAGTGAGGGACAACCAAATGACTGAACAGCAGGCTGCGTGGAGCAACAAGGCCAGCAGGGTGGTTAGTGAGGGACAACCAAATGACTGAAC